CAGCCGGAAGGATGCCGGCTAACACCGGAAGTACCGCAGTGCTGATCGTCTTTAACTCTTAGTCAACAAAACGAGTGAGGACCTCTGTGATCTGAGCAGTGACGTACGCACCGTATAATTCCCTACCCGATTGACCCAGACAGCCGCTGCATAAGTTACTATAGGAGCATATGTTCCGTTATACAAACGCGAAGAGCCGCGAATGCCCCAGGAGGAAGCCGACATCCACGACATCTTGCCAAAACATCTCCCGGCCCGGTCTCCCATGTCCTTCGCATGCTTAATAAAAGACTGACTATTGTCTAGCGTAACGCCCAATACTTTAGTCGACTCTACGCTTTTTTTGAGTTGCTTCCCATCCTTATTACAGGTGGTCGCAGGAATCTGCCCTTGAGAGACATTGTGCATGACTTTGTGGAGGAAAAGGAGAGACGGTTCCTTTCCCCCCAGGACTCAACCAGCTCCAGTGCAGACTTGGCCGTTGCCTCTATATCAGCCCTAGAGTTCGCCTCAATCAAGAGCGTTACGTCATCTGCATACGCAATCATTTTCGCATTAGCGGGGAATAGCAGCCTCAACAAATCTTCCAGCAGTAAATTCCATAGGGTCGGTCCTAAGACCAATCCCAGCGGGCAGCCCATGGTCATGAGAAGGAAGCTTCGAAAGTAGCGCTTTCTGCCAGATCCGATCGAATGTCTTCGCTATGTCCGAACTAACAGTATGGAGTACTTACACCGCAAGATGGTCGGCGGTATGTTCCCCCCGTCATGTAAAGTCGAGTTGGACGCAAAGAGATAGCTTAGCAGATCGGCTTTCTCATTTGCGGCATGGGCCAGTGAGTCATCCTCTCTGTGCAGAGATGGAAGAGATGGCTGACAGAAGTTCCCTTGGACAGCCTTGGCGAGAGACCAGAATGCACGTGTTCTCGAAGGAAGGTGAAATAGCTTCTTGCCAGTTCTGCCGATGTGCTCAGACCTTGCGTTGGCAATGACTCTTTTGAAGAACCTGGAGGCGGGATTATACTTCTTTTTAAGCGCGCTGGTGTTTACATCCCAATACGTTGATGCGTCAGCCCAGGCCCGGTATTACTCCTGCTTATATCGTGATGCTATTTTATAGAAGCGACCAAACCATGGCTGGGATCTGCCTCCCATGGGTACCACAGAGGATGGAATAAAAAGTTCCATACCCTGAAGTACCACGTCAGCAACAGAATCGGCAACAACGCTGGGATCTTCCGGCGAGAAGCAAACCCGCCCTCAAGGGTGACTTGACGAAGTAGAGGGTAACTTGATCGTGGATGCTCAGTGAGGGATTCTCCATTACCAACGGTGCTGGTACCCTCCTGGGGTTCCTTATTCCTTTCTTTTTAAATTCCGCTACCATGTTATGGGTGGAGGTGGGGGGGGGGGCTGCCAGCCACCTGCACTAACCAAGCGAAACGCAGAAACATAGCTTCTACTTTACGTTGGTACTCTGTGTGGTCGTGGTACTGCCCCGGTTCGAGCCGGCCCATCCGTGCTACAGCAGAAGCGTGGCTCTACCACTGTTAATAATAATGTTTAAGAGCATGAATCTGTTGCTACACTTGGAATAAAAGACCTTATAGAGGCTGCATTACCCCGATGCAGCCTTTCTTTTCAGTTCTTTCCGATCGGCTTGATACACTAGCACTGCGTAGAGATGTTGCATCTCTTTGCGTATTTTATCGCATCTATCACGGGGAGTGCTCTGAGGAATTGTTCGGACTAATTCCAGCCGCTCAATTTCACCATCGCACGTCGCGACAAAACTCGCGTTACCATCCATACCATCTGGATGATTGGCGGTCCACCACTGTGCGATTTAGAAGAAGTTTTCTCCCTCGCACAACTTCTTTGTGGAATCAATTACCACCAGCGAATTTTCCGAACCGATACGACTTAGGAACCTTCAAGAAAAGAGCTTACACCTTTCTAAAAGGCCGGCAACGCATCTGCAATTCCCCTGGTGTTGCGGTTGTTCATGGGCGGCGGTAGTCACTTACCATCAGGTGAGCCGCATGCTCGTTTGCCCCCTATTCTATAAAAAAATAATTCCAAAACTATGTTAATGTGATTACTTATCAAACGAGACTTATTATCAATTTTTTTAAAGTAAATCTAAGGCTTCCTTTTATACCTCTTTGACTAATGGAAGATTAACTACTACAGCTAATATCTCTTCACACAAGTACTTTCTTAAGTAAAATAATTTTTAAACATCAGAAAGTGTTTGATTATTATGAAATTTAGCCATAAACAAATCTATGAATGGAGTATACTTATTATATAATCTTTACCACAAAACACAGGTATGTCAATATTAGGCAATTTTAAGTATGAGCCAGTTGTACTCTTTGAAAATAGACATGAGTTCATGTTCTTTAACATATTTTCTAATTTTGAAACAATTGAATTTTTTTTTAAATGTCCAACTGGATTCTCTCATAATCTTGTATTGCATTGATTAATTAATTTTTACGCGCTTCCAACATTTCAATGCTACATGTAGTCAGGTTACTAGTATCATTTACATAATTTTAAATTCTTGTAACCATACCTCGAATAAGTCCTCGTTGAATCTTTATTTTAATTCTTCCTGCATTGTTAATATAAGCTATCTTAATATTTTAATCACAACACTAAGCAGCAGAAACAGAAACTTTTTTATTCAATATATTATAAATAATACTTATTGAAAGTCACTCTTTTGTTTAATTACTATTGGTTCGAAAAAAAACCTCTGTCCTGGGAAGAACCAGCAAGAAACCCAGCGGGACTTTTTTCTTAAATAACAGCTTACAATCATGTATGTTACACAACTAACCACACAAAAAAATTTAGAACTAGCTTGGTAGCGATCACCTCATTCCCAAGGAGTTATTATCATCCATAAATTCCTTAATATTATAAAAGCCTTTTTATCCAAACTTTGTTTAATAAAGTTTTGGACTATGAGCAGGTTAAATTTTGTATATTTTCTGGGATTTTGTTGTAAAAGTGTATACATCGCCCCAAGAATGAATTACTGACACGGTGTAGTCGAGTACTGGTACTACTAGCTTGTGTCTGCTGTCTGTTCTTAGTATTTACAAAATGAATAACACTTATTTTTGTATAACTACCTTTTATTTTGTGTATGTACATTACATTTTCATAAATGTATTAAGAGGACAAAGTTAATATATTAATATCCTTAAATTTTTGTCGGAGTGGCACTTTAGGTATTAAATCATAGATTGCTCTTATGACCCTCTTCTGTAAAACAAATATAATTTCAGTGTAAGTATGGGAACATGCACCCCATAACAAAATACCTTACGACATTATGCTATGGAAATAGCTAAAGTAAACAAGTCTAGCTGTTTCCACACTGGTAATATTTCTAATTTTTTTTACAGCATATGCTGCAGAACTAATTCTGCTTGCTAATTTTGATCTATGGGGGCTCCATTGAAGCTTCGCGTCTAGTTTTATTCCAGAAAATGTTGGTATCAACAAGACTCAGTTCCTCTCCATTTAAAATTACATTAGTATTTAATCGTTTGACATTTGGAGTCACGAATTTCATACATTTCGTTTTAGTGCCATTTAAATGCAAGTTATTAACATTAAACCAGTTTAATAATTTAGATATAGCATTATTTACTTCGTCATATTTCAATAATTGTCGTTTTAATTTGAAAATGTATGAAGTGTCATTAGCAAATAATACTATATTATGGTTATCCCCTACTATGTAAGGTTAGTCGTTAATATATACAAGAAACAGAAAGGGGCCGAGAAATGTGCCTTCAGGCACGCCCATTTGTACTATCGACAAGGAAAAGAGCTCATATTATTAATGACAACTTATTGCGTTCTGTTACTTAAATATGAAACAATTAATTTAAGAGCATTACTTTTTACACCGTAGTGTTGTATTTTCCTGATTAATGTTTCATGGTGAACACAATCGAAGGCTTTGGATAGGTCACAAAATATACCCAATGCATCCTGTGAATTCTCCCATGCATTGAAAATACATATATTTAATTAGCTCCACAACAGCATGAGTTGTTGAGCGACCCCTTGTGAAACTGAATTGATTTTTATGAAGTAAACTATTTTACATATATTTACATTAAAAAAATTTAACATTTGATCAAGAATAATTCTTTCAAAAATCTTAATGTGTTTTCCAATGTACTACCAGATGTAAATAAAGGTATTACTTTAGTATGTTTCATTAAATCAGGAAACTTACCATATTCAATACTAGTATTAAAAATAATAGCTAGTTGAGGCGTGATTATATCTATTATAGACGCAGTAATTTTAAAGGGAATCCCCCACAGATCTGCAGTTTTGTTAATATCAGTAGTTTTAAAATATTTTAAAATATCTTTTGATGATATTTTATGAAATGTAAAATTTTTTGTTCATGCATTTAAATTTTGTTTAAGTAATGATTCGGCGACGGCAGGAGAAGAATTTTCAAAGAATTTTCACTTTAATATTCACGCGCACAACAATCAACAGAGGTTGATATGTTTTGTTTTGCTTGCCTTGAGCCTTGACTTGAATAGGTGCCAACGTAAAGTTGTTAAACTCACAGAGGGTAGTATTTATGAGCAGCACGAACTCAATGCTACCAACCTTTCGCCAATGAATATTGAGCAGACTTGACCGTTGAGCTGGACTATCTCACACTTTAAGATCTTGATCGCAATGGATAAATCGTTAATTACAACGTGATTTCTTCGATATATGTAGCTTTATCGTCTTGATGTTATTTTTAGCCTTCTCGGGGGATCCGCAGTCGAGAAAATATAGATTTCCCGAGAAGGGGTGGGCCTCGTACACTTCGAAGAATGACCTCTGTATACCTCTGTACCACATAATTCGCCGAAATGCCGCAATTACACCAAAAACTCACTAAAATAGCTCTTAAATAAAATGCAAGTTTAAATTTAATTTTGGTATTGAATCGTGTGGCAGCTGGAGCACTCGAGCGCGGGTGGGGCGTGCGCAGCGTGGGGAGCGTGGGGCGCGTGGGGCGCGGCGCTGTGGGGCGAGCGCGGCGCGGGCGCGCTGCCGCCGCTGGGCGAGTGGGCGCGCGCGGCGCGGGCCTTCGCCGGCCTGCGCGCGCCGCTCGCCGCCTGCGACGCCGACGACGTGCGCCAGGCCGCGCGCCTGCTGCTGCCGCACGCCGACTGCCCGCCGCGCCCCGTCACGTGAGTGCACCTGCATACACTATTACTCGCTAAGGTACGATGAACTTTCAGTCTTCGCAGAGTCTATTACTCTTGATGATGCTTCGTTTAGAGGCGAAACATCTTGTGTAGTACTTTTAGCGAGTCTTTCGTTATGTAGTGATTTTGGGGGTAAAAGTGTTGAGTTTGCGGTGACGGAGATGATGGAGTGTGTTGCCACATTGTGCGACGCGGACGACGTTCGTCAAGCTGCACGGTTACTGTTACCTCATACTTGAGTACCTGCCCACCGTAACCGTTACCGCTACAGCTTATTAAGCATCACCACTGAACAAAGGCCTCCGACATATTATGCCTCATAGGGCGAATATTTGCCATAGTTGGCACGCTTGGCAAACGCAGTTTTTAATTTTTAGTCCTTAATACGACTACGCTGCTGCCCATAAGAAATTTGTTTCTCTCTATCGCCTCTAACGACATCTACAGGATGATATGTGGTTGTTCATTTTCGGCCAAACCCTGCCCTGTCAGGAAGTTGTCAAGTTCCCAGTAACCCTTTATAGATGGTATGTATACCAAGCTAATAAAAGGGTGTTAAAAAAAGCATTCTATAAAATCAGATTCAAAAATTCCATTTATTGAAGGAATTTTTGAATCTGATTTTATAGAATAAATATTACCAACAAGCACGCAGTTCCCCTGATGGTGCAACGAGTACTCAGTGCCCCTTGATTATGTTCAAGTTGCAGATGCGTTGTCACCCCTGAGGACTAAAATGGAATACCCGTTTCCGATAAAGGTCCTCACTAAAGGGTCTCCGGATCTCTACACTCACCATACGAAACACAATCAGTATCAAATTGCTATCACGCTGGTATTTTGCGAGAGCGTGGTCTTTCCACGGTCGAGTCAACCCATTTGTGCTAAAATCATAATATAGCTGCAGCATGGATCTACTACGTAACAAAACCTTAGTTGTTGCGTTTTGCATCAAATTGAAAGATATTGGGGATTTTGTAAATAAATGTTAAATTTCCATTTTTTGGATAACAGAGCAGAAGAGGAACTAGAGCCATCATGGTCCCGATGCTCCCGTAACCCTGAGGAGTTGAGCCGGGCAGCGTTGTCCTTGGCACACCGCGCGCTGCTCACAGGAAGACCAGAACTGATCGGAGGCGCCCGCGCGCTGTTACCACCGCAAGGACTGGATGCACCTGATAGCTCGGGACTTACCGTGCTGATGAAGGCAGCGCTTGCTGGTGATGAACATGTGGTCGCTGTAAGTACAACGAGTAAATCTTTTGCATTGTGACAGTTTCCTCAAAAGCCACTTGAAAAAATGAACTATTAAGTGATAGGACGCTTTTTCTGCCTAGTAGTCTATCTGGGAAGGTAACACCCTCCCATCTATTTCTTCCATGAAATAGCAATACTTGCACTATTGTGTTCCATTCAGAAGGGTAAAGAGAGCCACTATAATAACAGGCTGTAAGGTCTTGGTACTCAGAAGTGACAACATATCTTTAGTCTTCTTTGAAGCTGGCTGCAGGTTTCCATGGACTTTATTTTTTTTATAGGAGAGGGGGAAACGAGCATGCGGCTCACCTGATGGTAAGTGACTACCACCGCCCATGAACAACTGCAACACCAGGAGAATTGCAGATGCGCTGACGGCCTTTAAAAAGGAGTAGGCTCTTTTCTTGAAGGTCCCTAAGTCGTATCAGTCCGGAAAATCGCTTATGGTAATCGATTCCACAAGGAAGTTGTGCGAGGAAGAATATTTCTTCTAAATCGCACAGTGGTGAACCGCCAATAATCCAGATGGTATGGATGGTATCGCGAGTTTTATCGTGATGTGCGATGGCGAAATTGAATGGCTGGAATTGAAGGCATCTATACTCTATTAGTCCGAACAATTCCTCAGAGCACTCCCCGTGATAGATGCGATAAAATACGCAAAGAGATGCAACATCTCTACGCCGTGCCAGTGAGTCAAGCTGATTAACTGGCAGGAATTTCCACTTGCTATCAGGTGGACTGTAAGTTCGTTTGTCATTTCAGCTTAAAAAATAAAAAAGTCTTCTCATCGTCAATTACCCGGATTTTTTTTTAGAGAAATCTAAGCTAATTAAACAACTTCCATACAAGACTTCTGTCCTGTATTATGTAAGCGTTTTACATAATAAATTGAACAATGACAAACACCAAATTTCGGGTTGAGCGCCGTATTAAATCTAATTCCAAGTGCGATTTCAACCCGCTCTAAACAGCGCCGCAGTCAAACGCAGTTAGCTATTGCGCTACCAAGTCGCCGAAAGTAAAGTTTTACAGTTTACTATTTAAATGTGCTTACTTTTACGTGGTAGAGCCATGCTGCAGCTATATTTCTGGTATAGTTGTAACACGAATGTGTCGGCTCGACCGGAGAAGAATCACGCTCTCACAGAATACCAGCGTAAAATAGCAGCTTAATGCTGCTGTGTTTCGTATGGTGAGTGTAGAGAACCGGAGACCCTTTTACTGGAAACGAGGCATTCAATCTTAGTCCTCAGGGGTGACAACGCATCTGCATTTTGATTCGTAATCGAGGATAAATGTAGATGTCTATGGACCACAGCAACCACTTACCATCAGGTGGACTGTGTGCTCGTTTGTCACCCTATCCTACAAAAAAATTCTTCTTCTTTATCAGCCTTTAAAATCCTTTGCTGTATTTTAATAGAATAAGAGCACACAGTCCATATCTTAGTAAGTGGATGGTGCGGCCTATAAACACCTATATCTATCCTGAATTAAGAAACAAAAATCGTTGTCACCCCTGAGGACTGTGATAATGCTTCGTTACCAGTCAAAAGAGCCTCCGGTTCTCTACAATCACCATATGAAATTTATATCATTGTGCATTAACCTGCTATTTTACGCTGCTATTCTGTGAAAGCGAGATTCTTTACCGGATGAGCTGAGCATGCTTGTTGTAACCACAAGATAACTGCGTGGCTTTACCACGTAAAAATATGGTAATTATTATTTTTAATTAAAATTGTTTTTTTATAAAACGCCGAGCAGGTGGATTATAAAAAGCAGGGTCTCTGGAAATGTGATCTTTCACCCTAGTGTGCGGGTTTCGGCTTTGGCATATTTTTGGGAATTTCTAACCATCTGTACTAATGTAGGATGTAGGCCCACAGCCTACATTACCAACTGAAAATTACAAAAAAATAAATGTAGGTATATCTGTGTGTGACTGTATAATTAAAGTCTATTTACCAAAGTATTCCCATCTCTTGTTGCAGATGCTGTTGGAAGCGGGCGCGGACCCCAACGTGGAGACGGTGGGCGCCGCCACGCATCACTCTGCGCTACTCTCCCCGCGCTCCCCCGCGCACCCCTCGAACCCCCCGCACTCCCCACAGCCCAATCCATCCAGTGGATACACGCCCCCTACTGCTGGTCAGTTTATTTCACAATTTTCCTCTAAACTATCTTGGTTTCCAAAAAACAAATTTGGGGCATTCGAAAAATCTGGAGACATTCCGCAAACGATTGTTCATGGTACGATGATGCTGATGATAGTACATGCCTATTTAGGCATGTACTACACTGTTGTTAATGTTGAAGAAGGCAAGCCTGGGACATTTTATCCATATTTTAGAGTTTTACTCCTTTTGTAATTTTGTTTAATTTTGCATAATTAAGTTCAATTAACGTTAGAACCAGAGTAAACGACCAGATCAGTAAGCTGAAGTGGCAACGGGCCAGCCATATAGCTCGAAGAAGTAACATCCGAGGCGGAAGGAAGGACATTAAGTGGCAGTCTCATAACGTTCATCTAAGTGTAGGGCGGCCCCTCAATGAAGAGACGACCTGGTTAAACATGTAGGAAGTCAATGGATGCAGGTAGCTCAGGATCGTAACTCGTGGCATTCCTTGAGGGAGTTCAGCAGTAAACTTGTGAAGGGTTGTTAATGATGATGATGATGAATGTTAAAAAGCGGTGTAAGATAGATGTGGTGTCATTCTTAGGATGGTGATAGAGCTTTCCAAGAAATAATAAATGCTAATTTACCACTTGATGACGAAGGAAAATATTGTGAGAAAATCGTCAATTCTAAAGAATAAATATATTAACATGACTGGTCCGTTAGGTAATCTTCGTCATCATTATTTATCATCGTTACAGCCCTTCATAAAGCCGTTTAGAAATCTACTGCTGAACGTAGGCCTCCCCCAAGGAATGTCACAAAGCACGGTCCTGAGCCATCTGCATTCATCGACTTGTTGCATATCTTACCAGGTTGTGACTTCACCTAGTGGGAAGTCGTCCTACACTTCGCCAACCGGTACGAGGTTGCCACGCGAGAACTTTTCTTTCCCATTTGTTGTCGGTAATCTTCGTCATCTATAGGTGTTATAGTTAGTCTAGCTATCTTCAGTTTTTGAATATTAATTTTTGGTTCGATCTATACAGGATTTGAAATTTTGCAGTGGTGTGCTTAGGTTTGGATTAGTGATTGGATTCATTAATCTTCTCTGTTCAAATTAGTGTTTTTTTTTTTAATTTCAAAATTCTTGCGAATCATCCTTGGTAATAATCGGTGTTTCTTTTGTGAGGATTTGTGGTCTATCAAATATAATGTTATGCTTGGGACAATCTTGCACATTTTCACAGATTGCAGTCTTACTATGACATTAGGCGTTAAACATCTCAGTCCTATTCGTGAATATAAGTGGTGTTAAGCACCCGAAATGTTGAGAATGAAAAAGTTAAAAGAAATTTCTGGGTATCATTTTTAATTAATTGTGTACACACGTACTAAGTGAAACTTTTTACGTCATATCATTCTTCTTTTATTTTATATTTTACATAAGTACGGTTAAATAATAGTATTGTCAATAATAGTAACAAAAAAATGTTATAAGAAACCGTGACGTTTTTGTTTTTAATATCGTACTTAATTTCACGTAATATAATTAGGAATATAATTATATAAAATCGGTAAAATTGTTTTTATTTAATACCATAAGTCCGTTTGTTGTATGAATTGTGGCGCATATAAGAGCGTGTGCGTCGTGTGCGCAGGCTGGACGGCGCTGGTGTACGCGTGCGGGCGCGCGGGCGGCGGCGCGCTGGAGGTGGCGCGGCGCCTGCTGGCGGCCGGCGCGCGCGTCGACGGCGCGCCCGCACGAGCTCCCGACCTCTGCACTCTCACGCCGCTGCAGGTCACCACTCACCTCCGCTACACCACACACCACACACAAACAAACACAAATGTAACGATAATCAAAGACCGTGAGTTTAAGGTGTAGAATTCTTGTAGAGTTTGATGTATGTATGTATGTATATATGTACGAAGATAAAAGGCTTTTTAATAGAGATTTAACACACTTTCGGAAATCTAAATAATCTATAATTTTATTTTAGAATCGATGACTATATAACACCGCGCCAATAGCCTGTGTTGCACTATGATAATTTCATATAATTTTATAAAAATCTATGATCTGGTACTCGTGACTACCTATTTCGTATATTTTAGGGTTCCGTACCTCAAAAGGAAAAAACGGAACCCTTATAGGATCACTTTGTTGTCCGTCTGTCTGTCAAGACCATTTTTCTCAGGAACGCGTGAAGGTATCAAACTGAAATTCATATCAAATACTCAGGTCTACTGTGCCTTGGGGCTGTGAAAATATCAAACTTCTAGGCCAACGCAATCAAAAGATACAGCCGTTTATGCCGCAAATTTTCGACATTCGCAAAAGAATCAAAACCTACAGGCATAGAATTATTACACATAGTACAAAACACGAGCGTTAAAATGATGCAGTCATTATGTTTATGTTAATGGGCGCGAGTCGAATGTGCTTACGCTCGTCACACGCACACATACACGCCATTCAGTGATACCAGTTTCTGGCGTTTGCAATCAAATTGTGCAAATCACTATTTTTTGATTAATTTTAAAAAATCGATATAGTAAAGATTACGTATTACGTACGAAGATTATTTAGTAGAAGTATTTTATGAGAATATAAAATGGAATAAAATAAACACGATAATGATGTTACTAATATAAATTTATTATACATATATTAATGGTAAAAAATGCAGACGTAATAAAATTTAAGAATATTATTAAACAATTAATTTGCTCGAATACATTAAGCACATCGTGTAATGTTTAATTTTAACCGACTTCAAAAAGGGAGGAGGTTATCAATTCGGTGTATGTTTTAATGTTTTTTACCTCAGAATTCAACAATTTCTAAACCGATTTGTTTTTTTTTATTTGAAAGGATATACACACAGATTGATCCAATACAGACGCTGAAATTTTAATGGTTGTTTTCCCGAAGTAAAAAGATTTTGCCTTAGTAGTACAATAGATTTATTAAAATAAAATTATTAGGATGTAAAAATGGCATATTTACAATCGAGAAAAACAAAACTCGAATACGATCTCAAACCAATAGTAATATCTCGCAATTAGGTCGGGCATACAGGCTAGCTTATACCGAATTACTATAATAAAGTCTGAAAAAAAATTCGCTGGACGTAATGTAGTGTTACGTCTATCGCACGTGCTACCGCGCGCTTCCTACACAGTGAAGGGCGTAGTGATACGACATAAACTAGTTTGGACGCCCGAATAGCTTGTGAGGTATTACTATTGTAAATCTGCCCTTTTTTAATTGTAATATTTTTTAATTTAATAAATTGACTCTACTATCGAGACAGTTTAATTTGGCTGCGGGACAATAACCACTAAAATTTCAACATGTATATACGAATTGATCAAGCTTAGAAATCAGTGTACATACATATTGATAACCTTTCTTTTTGGGAGTCGGTTAAAATAGGCTATGTTTGGGTCTAACGTAACATCTGGTTAATGTTTGGGTGTATAGTGACATCTGGTTAGTAAAGGCGTTCTTATTAATAATCTCATGATGTTGTAAATAAAAAAGTTTTTATTCTATACTCTAAAACGTAACCTTAGTCAATAAAAAAAGCAATTAAAATAAAATAGTTGCGTTAAAATGGCGTCGACGAATCGCGATTAGCTGATCACTCCGTATTAGTTTTAAACAGGCACCCATATTGTTAATATAATGTTAACACTTAGAGAAGTAGGTATCTATATATTATAGACATAAATTTGAGATTCAGACAGAGCGTTGCGATTAAACGTTTTAAACACAAATAGAAAGTAAATATTTTTAAAATAAAATTATGATTTTTTTCCCCACAACTAGCAACATATGTATTATGAGAGCTTAGGTAAGTATCTTTTTAGTTTTACGTACTTATAAAGAATTAAATGTATAAACTTATATGTGAAATGTAATACCATCACTTCTTTTATGTTTATCATCACCGTTGTGACAATATTTTACAACACAAACGGTAATTTTTACAATTTTTCGCGAGCTCTTCTCCGTAAGACGTGACTTTGCGCACTGACGCGTCGCTGAGTCAACTTACTTCACTTAGTTTTACTTGCTTCACTTTCGGTGCGCGTACTAGTAATCTATGCGTAATAATTCTATGCCTACAGGGTAACTTCCCGTAAACTCAGAATATTGAAATTTGGTACGAAGCAACGTTTTATAGCACAGATAAAGGGAAAATTGCGAAAAGCATAAATTTTTAGTTACATCATATAATAAAAATATTTTTAATAATTTTAAATTTCTATACCTATCGATTAGTTCGGAACTCTCAGTGCGCGAGTTCGACTCGCACTTGGCCGGTTTTTTTAATTAATAAAAACTTTTCAATATTTAATACTAACTCAAAACATGATTGGTTTCCCACTTATGTGAAATTATATTTCTTCTACTTTAACAATAGATAAAGTATTTAATTTGTAAAAGCTATTTTAATATTTTTATTGGTATTCTCATACAAAATCTACAAAAAGAAATTTCACCAATTTTGAATTGTGTACTTTATGTTCATAAACGAAGAACAAACCAATCGAACGGCGTAATAGAATAGTTTAGAATATTTTTTTCTAATTGAAAGTCATGTTTTTACTTTTACCACTGGTTCGGAAAATATCTCTGCCCTGGAAAGAACCAGCAAGAAACCCAACGAAAAATTTTACAATAAAATAATATTATGTCGCAGTATTAATGTCGCCTCTTACACTTTATCTCAAATATACCCAAGCAAAAGAAAAATAATGACGTTTACTGCACACGTTGAATGAAACAAACTTTTGCAGGTAGCTTGTGGAGTCGGCAATCTAGAACTAGTCCAGTTGTTGTTGTCGCACGGTGCAGACCCCTTCCTGTCCACGCAGCTCAATGATGCCTTGTGCTACTCTGCTGCTGCTCAGTATGGATGCTACAGGTATTAGTTTTATAAAACCAGATATAGTCGAAAATCAATACATACGTTTACATTTATCCATAGCGAATCAAATGTTAGATGTTATCTGACGAGGTATAATCTGTCTATATTTATGTTATTTATAGTTCAATTGAATCTAGATTATTCCAATGTTTGCATTAAGAGTTTGGTATATTTTTTTTTTTAGGTAAAACGTTCATACGTTCTCTATGTATAAATTATCTAATGTTGGTTGATATGTAACGATTATATGCCTTGTTGTTTAATTCAATCTGGATTTCCTCAAGGGTCTTTGCTTGGTCCCCGCTCATTCATTACATTCACTGTCATATTTAAAAAATGACTATATTTTTGTATGAACGCGATGGTAGATTTTTTATGAATATTATTTAGAAAGTACAACGCTATCCTGCATGGACAATTCTAAGAGGACCTTAAGACTAACAGTCATTGGCTAACAAACCTCAGCTTAGCATCACATAATTAACTTATTTAAAGGTGAAATGTACGATTCAGTTTCACACATTTAAGTCAAAGCTGAATACAATCACATAAATGATTAAATTGCCCTTGATGTTTCTCCGGTCGTGTAAGATTGGCGTTTCAACGCACTACGAGAGTGACATTAACACTCGGGCACTATAATCCTGTCCTGCACAAATGGCTACTCTCCGTTGTGACTGGCCACCGTGACCAAAATTTGGACTGGACGATATTAGTAGTTGTTGTGGCCCATAGACATCTACATTGATTATCGATTAAGAATCAAAATGCAGATGTGTTGTCACCCGTGAGGACTAATATCCAGTAAAAGGGGTCACCGGTTCTGTACACCCACACAGCAGCATGGAATTGCAGTTATATGGCTGTTATTATGTAAGAGCGTGGTAATTCGCGAGCCGACTCATTCGTGCTACAACTATAATATAGGTGTAGTATGTCTCTACCACGTTTGGCTATTAGCGTACGTGAGGGTAATATGGTTATTCGGTTACAGCCTTGATTGCATAGATGGCTCTATGATACGATAAGTCTTCATCATTGAATCAAATAACAAAGGGTCTAAAGAAGCCATTTTGCCAGTTGATATTGTTATATTATGGTCACTATCCGGGTTTTTTATAAGTTGATTTTTCGATGTCAGTTGTAGTATAGGACTTTGTGTATTCGTCTTTATTCTCCTACCATTATTGGTTTTATAGGGCGGAAAAGTTTAAGGGAATCATATTACCCTCACATACCTTAGAGGTATTATCGTGGTAGAGCCATGCTGCAAGTATATTGTAACATGAGTGGATCGGCTCAATCAGGGAAGTACCACGCTCTCACGGAATATCATCGTAAAATAGCAGCTTAATGCTGCTGTTTCGTATAGTGATGAGTATAGGGCACCGGAAACCCCTTTTGTTGGAAACGAGACATAGTCTTCAGGGGTGACAACGCATATGTATTTTGTTTCTTTATTGAGGATAGACGTAGATGTCTATGAGCCTCAGCATCCATTACCATCAGGCGACTCCGTGTTCGTTTGTCACCTTATTCTAACAGTGAGAGAGCCATGCGGTACCTTTTGCTGTCGCACGGATGGGACGGCTCAAATCGGGGTGGTACCACGACCTCACATAATACCAGCCTGAAGTAGAGGTTTACCTCTTCGTTTCGCTTCGTGGAAACAAATGGCTGGCGGCCCAATCCCCCATCAACATGGTAGGGGAAATAATTGTAACCAGACTACCCCAGGAAGATACCAGTACCCCTGGAGAATCCCTCGCTGAGCATCCACGACCAAGCAACTCCACTCCTGAGCGTGGGTGCTCAAACTGCCTCGCGTATTCGGGGGGGGGGGGGCCTACCGCTCGCTATTAAAACTGCTCGAGGCAAGCGGAGCAATAACACCAAGGCAACCCCTGTCACGCTATCCGTGAATTTTCGCAACATCAGGGGACTTCATTCCAACCTTAACACTGTCCACTACCATCTAGAGATGGCGAAGCCGCCCTTGCTCTTTTTAACCGAGACTCATGTGGCCTCTCCGGCTGATACTTCATATCTCTCCTACCCGCGGTAAAAATTAGAATACTCCTATGTACCCCGGGCTAGAGTTTGCGTATACGTCAGAGAGGACATTTGTTTTCGACGCCTAGGAAGACTTGAAGGAACGGACCTGTCCATCCTATGGTTGCGCGTAAACAGCGACGACCGTCCCCGCGTCTACGGGTGCCTGCCTCTATAGATCCCATAGCGGTAATGCCGAAACAGACCGACTCATCGACCACGTCCAAATGGCTACAGATTCCTTGCTACAGCAGATCGCATCCGCAGAGATCGTGATCCTTGGCGATTTTAAAACCCACTACGCCGAATGGCTCAGTTCATGTTTAACCGATCATGCGGGGAGATCTGTTTATGACTTTGACTTGGCATATGGTCTTACACAGCTGCTTACTTCGAATACGCGGATTCCATTTGTGGAGGATCATGCACCTTCCCTGTTGGACCTTCTACTGACCTCTCATCCGGACGGATATTAGGTTTCCGTCGTCACGCCTCTAGGCTCGTCGGGCCATTGTCTTGTCCGGAGTGTGGTGCCACTCACACTAACGTCGCTGTTGCATTCTGCAGGCTGCCGCCGTATTTGGCACTATAGGTCGGCTGATTGGGAAAGGAAAGGTCTTCTTTTGCATCCTACCCTTGAGGGTGGATTTGCTTCTCGCCGGACGATCCCAACGTTGTTGCTGATTCTGTCGCTTATGTGGTACTTCAGGGTATGGAACTTTTAATTCCATCCTCTGTGGTGCAAAATAGCATCACGCTATAAGCAGGAGTGCTACCGGGCCTGGGCTGACGCATCAACGTCTCGGGATGTAATTCCAACGCTCTTAAAAAGAAGTATAATTCCGCCTCCAAGTCCTTCAAAAACTTAAACCTTGCCAAGGCAAGGTCTAAGCACATCGGCAGAATTGGCGAGAAGCTAGTTCACCTTCCTTCGGGAATCCGTACATTCTGGTCTCTCGCCAAGGCTGTCCAAGGGAACTTCTGTCAGCCATCTCTTTCATCTCTGCGCAGAGAGGACGACTCACTGGCCCATGCCTCAAAGGAGAAAGCCGAGCTGTTAGGCTCTCTCTTTGCGTCCAACTCGACTCTTGATGACGGGGGGAATACACCGCCGATCATCCCGCGGTGTGAGTGCTCCATACCGGATGTGCGGTTCTCACAGCGCCTCGCAAAGCCCTGGACGTCAGCAAGTCGAATGGACCTGATGGAGTCCCTCCCATTGTGAAGACGTGTGCTCCGGAGTTGGCACTGGCTTAACGCGTCTTTTCCGGTACTCTTACTCCCAAGGCCTAGACCCGAATTCATGGAAGGCAGCTTTGGCCCACTCGATCCCTAATAAAGGCGACCGCTTAGACCCGTCTAACTACAGGCCTATCGCTATCACCTCCTTGTTCTCCAAAATAATGGAATCCATTATAAACTGCCAGCTCATGAGGTACCTTGAGGATCACCAGCGGATTAGTGACAGCCAGTGGGGTTTCGTCGGGGTCGATCAGCTGGTGATCTTTTGGTCTACCTGACTCATAGCTGGGCGTATGCAGAAGAGTCTAAGCGGGAGGCATTGGCTGTTAGTTTGGACATAGCAAAGGCCTTCGACCGGGTCTGGCACAAAGCGCTTCTTTCGAAGCTCCCTTCTTACGGGATTCATAAGTTTCCTTCCTGATCGGTGCATTAAGGTTGTAGTAGACTGTGCATGCTATGATTACAAGCCTATCAAAGCTGATGTTCCACAAGACTGCGTGCTATGACCAACGGTGTTTCTCCTGCATGTCAATGATATGTTGCAAGCTGGTTCTATTCTATTTATTGCTATGCAGATGGCCGTGTCAATATTTCTCGGGAAAACGTCGCCCAGTACCGGGACAAACTTGTGTCTAAAGTCAAGTCTTTGCTGAACAAAGTCTCGAATTGGGGGCGACTAAATCTAATCCAGTTCAATGCCCAGAAGACACAAGTATGCGCGTTTACTGCTAAAAAGAATCCCTTTGTCGTATCTCCTCAGTTTCAAGGCACTCCCCTTACAGCTTTAGCTAGCATCGGAATTCTCGGCGTAGACATATCAAATAGCGTGCAGTTTCATGGTCAGTAGTATTTCATGCCGGCACATCGCTTGCAACTTTTACACAGCGCAAATTAGGCCACACATGGAATACTGTTCTCATCTCTGGGCCGGGGCATCTCAGTGCCAACTCCTTCTAATTGACCTTATCCAGCGCAGAGCGGTTCGAATCGGTGACGACCGGTCCTTTTTGATCGGCTCAATTCACTGGCGCTGCGTAGAGATGTTACATTCCTTTGCATTTTCTATCGAATCTATTACCGGGAGTGCTCTGAGAAATTGTTCGGATTAATTCACGTACGCACATCGCGTCAAAATCACGATACCATCCTCACCATCTGAATGCTTGGCGGTCCATCACTGTGCGTTTTACCAGGAGTTTTAGGACAACTTCTCTGAGGAATTGTTTACCACCGGAGATTTTCCCGGACTGACACGACTTAGGTACCTTCAAGACAAGAGCTTCTCCTTTCTAAAAGGTCAGCAACGCACCTGCGATTCCCCTGGTGTTGCGGTTGTTCATAGGCGGTGGTAGTCACTTACCATTAGGTAAGCCGCATGCACATTTGCCCCCTCTTCTATAAAAAAAAATATATGAAAAAACGTGATTGTAAGTGTACGTGTGTGCGCAGCGCGGTGGCGGTGTGCTGCTCGCACGGGCGGCGCGCGTGCCTGCGCGCGGCGGTGCGCGGCGGCGCGCGGGGCGCGGGCGCCGTGCTGTCGCTGGAGGAGGTGCTGGCGGAGGGCGCGCCGCCCGCCGCGCGCCCGCCGCCCTTCACCAAGCAGCAGCAGCGCGCGCTGCACGACGCCATGTACTACGCCGCCGAGACCGACCACTTGGGTCAGTCCCTCTCTATCTGTACTACTGCACAAACACTTGTATGAGGGACGCGCGGGGCGCGGGCGCCGTGCTGTCGCTGGAGGAGGTGCTGGCGGAGGGCGCGCCGCCCGCCGCGCGCCCGCCGCCCTTCACCAAGCAGCAGCAGCGCGCGCTGCACGACGCCATGTACTACGCCGCCGAGACCGACCACTTGGGTCAGTCCCTCTCTATCTGTACTACTGCACAAACACTTGTATGAGGGACGCGCGGGGCGCGGGCGCCGTGCTGTCGCTGGAGGAGGTGCTGGCGGAGGGCGCGCCGCCCGCCGCGCGCCCGCCGCCCTTCACCAAGCAGCAGCAGCGCGCGCTGCACGACGCCATGTACTACGCCGCCGAGACCGACCACTTGGGTCAGTCCCTCTCTATCTGTACTACTGCACAAACACTTGTATGAGGGACGCGCGGGGCGCGGGCGCCGTGCTGTCGCTGGAGGAGGTGCTGGCGGAGGGCGCGCCGCCCGCCGCGCGCCCGCCGCCCTTCACCAAGCAGCAGCAGCGCGCGCTGCACGACGCCATGTACTACGCCGCCGAGACCGACCACTTGGGTCAGTCCCTCTCTATCTGTACTACTGCACAAACACTTGTATGAGGGACGCGCGGGGCGCGGGCGCCGTGCTGTCGCTGGAGGAGGTGCTGGCGGAGGGCGCGCCGCCCGCCGCGCGCCCGCCGCCCTTCACCAAGCAGCAGCAGCGCGCGCTGCACGACGCCATGTACTACGCCGCCGAGACCGACCACTTGGGTCAGTCCCTCTCTATCTGTACTACTACAAAAACATGTGGCGGCGCTGTCGTCGCGCCATTAGCAAAACACATCGAAGCCTAAATCGCGCTAACAAAGTTCCGAAATTAAAGCAGTATGTATAGAATAGCTCCGAACTACAACTTGGAGCGTTGGCCGCTACCCGGGCAGAACACCTTGCCCGGAGGGAGTTCTCCCCTTTTCCTTCCACCCGCCACACTGGTGACCCCGACGTGATATAAACACGCAACTAACAACCTTCGGAAACTATATCTTCAAAACCTTCGTCACTGAACTACCACTCGGAACGTTGGCCGCTCCCCGGGCAGAACACCTTGCCCGGCCGGAGATCTCCCCTTTTCCTTCTACCCGCCACAGTGGTGACCACCCGACGTGATATGAACACGCAACCAACAAACCTTCGGAAACTACACCTTCAAACCTTCATCATCCTCAAGTGCTCCATTCATTCGCTCCCGGGCAGATATTGTAGGCAGTCTTCACATTCTGCAAGCCATCTAGCTTTACAAAGGTTTATCGCAGTACTGGAATAATAATACTTCCTGTTCCTTCAAGCTACTCTCTGCGCTACAGTGTTCGGCACGGCTCTGAGCCTTACTGCTCGCCTCTGCTTCACGGCACTCTCGCAGATTACTTGCCTTCTTCTCGACTCACCGCAGACTACAAGGCAATCCCTGGCACTTGCTCCGGCTCATCGTTCTCACTGGCATCATTTGCAAGTGCGTAGTACGGCATGCATTACACACCGGCATATAGTTCGCACCGGCGTCACTTGCCCTTACGCACACAGCATGCATTCCCCACCAGCATTAAGGACGCACCGGCAATCGAACTGCACTATCGACCTCGTCCTAACAAAGTTCCGAAATTAAAGCATTATATATAGAATAGTTCCGAACTACAATATGAAGCGTTGGCCACTCCCCAGGCAGAACTCCTTGCCCGGCGGGAGTTCTCCCCTTTTCCTTCCACCCGCCACAAATACTTGTATGTTTACTCTTAACTGGCCACTCAAAACAAAAACTGTGTCACAGCTGAGGATCGTGCGGGCGCACCATCCATTGAATTTTTGTGGTTCAAGGCAACTGTCCTATGCCTGGGACAGACAGACAGACGAAAATTTTAAAAATGGTTATTTGTCTCAATAGCATGGAAATATGTAGCTTACAACACTTCAATTTTTTTAAATGTTTTTTTTTAGATGTCAAAATTAATAGCTTTGTGTTTTAATTTCCAGATATAACATTAGAGCTCCGTGCGCTAGGAGTGCCATGGTCTCTGCACGCGTGGACCCTTTCCTTGGCAGCTGCTGCGGAGGCCTCCCTTGACCATGTCATAGACCAACTCCTACAAGACTTCTTGCAGGTAACATTTCACAACTCACAAAATGTTAAATTTTAATATAAATAAAGATTTAAAAAAATGCAAGTATCTGTGTGTTCAAGTTACTAAAAAAGCTTTAATTCTCCAGTCCTATTATAGTTTGACTCATAGAATATAGTACGTGAGGGTAATATGATCATTCGGTTCATATGGTCACTTTCTTATAACTCAAAAACTACAGCCTTGTTTGCTTGATATGATAGTGGTATGGCTCTGTAATATGATAGCTCTTCATCAGTCAATCAAATAACAAAGGGTCAAAAGGGCGCTGCTTTATCGACGCCATTTTGACAGTCGACATTATATTAAATATTTTAGTCGATTTTAGTATTGTGTAGTGTAGTATTTTTAAGTAAATTTTTCGAAGTGATCCTAATTATTGCCAAAGCTTGTTTGCTATTTTTTCTTAATATATTAGTTATAGTATAAGACTTTGTGTTTTGTCTCTGTCCTTCTCCTAGTTTTGGTTTTATAGGGCGGCAAAGCTTATGGTGATCACTGATCATACTACCCTACTACTATAATACATACAGTTTGATTAACAACAATGAATCATCATATTTACTAGGTGGTAGAACTCCTTATCTACCTAGAAATTTGTCTGGGTTATTTAATTAACCTTTTTCCATCATGATTTCTTATATTTACGCGAACACTACACATTGAATAAAGCTACTACTACTACTAGATAAACTACTACTAGATAAACTACTACTAGATAAATAAGTTAATTAAACGCGAAAAAATGCGTAAAAGTAGTTATTCAACCTTTTTCCATCGCCAAACAGCAGTGCTGCACTGCTGTTTTCTAGTATAGGGTATAGAGAGCCACTTCGTATAACCCCAGGAAGTGAGGCATTCCCTCTTTACTCTCAGTGGTGATATTGCGTCTGTAGCGTTCTTTGTTTGAAGCTGGCTACAGGTGACCATGGACAGCAGTAGCCCCCAACCATCAGGTGGACTGCAAATTCGTTTGTCACTTCAGTTTTATAAAAAAAGCATATTTGGAATAATGGCGGTAACAAATTACCCTAGGAAGGTTATTTGTATATACATCAACGCAATCTTATTACAAAACGATTTCTTGATAGTTCCAGGCTTAAAATATGGTTTCAGATAAGTTTCATGAAATAAGTCGGTATATAATCACTGCGCTTTAGCACCAGTCTTCGCGAAATTTGACAATTGCTGGCAAATTTCATATTACTCGTGCGGATAAAGCTTGGATAAAGTATCATATTGTAGTGTTGGGTGGTTCGGGGAATAAATAAAACGTCCAATAGTCTAGACGGTAGGTTTAATACTAACTCTCTCTTATTCTATCCTACATATATATAAGCACACACTACACGCCCATCGGCAAAAAGAAAAAAAAATCATTTACAAAAATATTTTTTTTTTGTTTTTTTTTTTTTAAATGTGACATAACTTGGTTTATAAAAAAAAATTATATAAAAGGTGTACATTACAAAGTATTAAAATTCTTATACTATAACATACTTATATCATAATAAAAAAAAAATCGTAAACACAGTAATTTTTAATTAATTTTATTTGTATTTATAGTAATAATAACAATTTTATTGTTTTATGTATATGGTCTAGTGCGATTTTTATGTATTGACTTATGTTTACCTTTGTAATCTATTGTTACATTTGGTTCACAATCTTCGATAACCTTAAATGGTCCTATATAAAGAGGATCAAATTTGTTTACACATTGTTCATTCTTAAGGAGTATCATATCACCGACATTATATTTAATTGGATTGGTATAGTAATCATACTTTGTTTTCCTACTTTGTTTGCTTAAAATTAAATTATTTCTTGCATCGTATTGCGATTTTTGAAGTCTATATCTAAGTTGTTGTGGATAATCATATGGGTTATATAAGGGCTCTATATCTAAAGTTAAATTAGTTGGCAAACGGCAAAGCTTCCCAAAAACAAGCTCATATGGAGTATACTTGGTTTCCGTGTGTACAGTGTTATTATAACCAAAACACCAATACGGTAACCAAGTGCTCCAGTTATGTGGTTCATTACCTGCTTGAATTCTGAGAAATGACATCAGATTTTTGTGGCTGTTTTCTAAGGAACCTATAGATTGGTGATGATATGCTGTTGACGTTACCTGTTGCGTTTTGAGAATACGGCACACGTCTTTCATGACGGTTGAAACAAATTCGGTCCCTTGGTCAGATATTATTTGTCGAGGAATACCATATCTCAAAATAAAATTATTGATAAAAGACGATGCCACTGAAATAGTATCCTTATGTTTAAGCGGATAGGCTTCAACATACTTACTTAAATCACACTGTAGTGTGAGTATATAAACATTATTATCGCTATCTTTACATAAGGGCCCTACTAAATCTAAATAAACTCTATCAAAAGCAGAATATCCCGTATCGGTTATCACCATTGGTTCTTTTATATGCTTATTTAAGTGCTTATATCGCAAACACTTGTCACATTGGTTTACATAATTAGTCACATCCTTCTCTAACCCGGGCCAAAAGAATCTTTTCTTTATATTGTTTATCATTCGCCTTATACCGGCGTGACCGCTAGTTGGCAATAGATGATAGTCGTTTAATATTATACGTTTTGTCTCATGATCGTCGATTTTATGGACACCATTTAAAATTAATATTCGCGGTCCGGACCTATTTGGTGTCTCATTTATAATACGAGTTAACTCCCTAATTAATATATTGTTATTATTATTTTGTATAATATACAGACGATCTATCTTTTGCTTATTACAAAAGCAATCCAACTCCCTCACAAAGGCATCTCGTGCACAATATGATCGGAAAGAAGGATTTACATAAATTGTTGACTTTGCTGAGACAAAACAAAATAACTTAGAGTTAGAATAGAACTTTTCTTTCATTCTGTCTATATTTTTCCATTTTTTTTCGTCTACAAATAATAATTCAGTGCAATCCTTCGGTTGTTTAAGTGTTCCCACGACTTTTGGGTGATCAGTCCAATCGTTGGTGGTAACCTTATCCTCCGTAGGGTTGTCACGCTTATCTTGCGCAATTTTGTTTTTTGTTCGCTTTCTTTGCGCTCTTGTTAGAACAGATATGACCTTTTCATTCATTTCTTTCAAATCTTCACTCGAAATTTGGATGCGTGACAAAGCATCTGCAGCTGCATTGTCAGCTCCCCTTACATACTTGATAACAAACTTATACTCCTCAAGCAATAACCTAAACTTCGTAAGTCTACTTGACGGATTTGTCATGTTGAATAAATATACGAGAGGCTTATGATCCGTTTCAATAATGAATTCGCGTCCATATAAATAAGGTCGAAAGTATTTTACTGCCCATACTATCGATAATAATTCCTTTTCGATAGTAGGATAGTTTTTCTCGGCTTTGTTTAAAGTGCGGCTAGCATATGCAACCGGTCGTCCGTCATGATTACATAAAACGGAGCCTATAGCAAAACCAGACGCGTCAGTTTTTAAAATAAAATTTTGGTCAAAATTTGGGTACTGAAGTATGGGAGGAGTCGTTAAAGCATTTTTAAGCGTTGAAAAAGATAGTTTACAGTTTTTATTCCAATGAAATTTAACATTTTTGCGACATAAATTGTTTAGAGGTAAAACGATTTCAGAAAATTTTGGTATAAATCTTCGATAGTAATTCGCAAACGCTACTAGTCTTTTTACATCGTTGGTATTTTGAGGAATTGGGTAATTTTGTAATACTGATATCTTTTTTGGGTCAGGCTTAATACCTTCGGAAGAAACAATGTGGCCAAGATAAAGAAGTTCTTTTTTTAGAAAAACACATTTTTTCGGGTTTAACTTTAAGTTTACTTTTCTTAAGCGTGATAATATTTCTATTAAATTTTTATTATGATTATCTAAGTTTCTGCCAAAACAAATGAGGTCGTCTAAATAAGTGAGCGCTTTTTCGTAATTTAAACCAGCCATGGATATTGTAATAGCACAAGAAAAGGAACTTGGGCTTGTCTTTAAGCCCATTGGCATTCTGGTCATCTGATATTGACCAGAGGGTGTAGTGAAAGCCGTATACCTTCTACTAGATGGATTAAGGCTTAATTGGTAAAAAGCTTGATTGAGATCAAGGTGGGTAAAATACATTGCTCCTGATAAGGAATCTAATATGTCTGTAATATTGGGTAACGGAAATTTGTCATCTACAATACAGTTGTTTAATTTTCGAAAATCGATAACCAAGCGCCAGCTCCTGTCCTCACCATTTTCTGGCTTTTTGGGTACAAGAAGCACAGGACTTGACCACTCACTGCAAGCTGGTTCAATAATTCCGTCTTGTAACATATTTTTGACTTGTGTTTCTATTTCGTTCCTCTGAGAATAGGGTAATCGATACTGTTTTACATACACTGGGTCAATATTAGGTTTTAACTGAATATTATGTTCATATAAGTTACAAGTTGTTAATTGATCTCCTGGCAATAAAAATATGTCGGAAAATTTTGCACAAATATGTATAATAGAAGATTTTTCCTCTTTATTTAAATGATCCAAATTTAATAAATTTAACATTTTATGAACGCGTTCGGGATCAATGAGACTTTTATCAAACTTACAAATTGAATAATTATGTAAACTATCGGTTTCAGGTCTAAAATAACTAAGATTGACCGGATCCTCTCGTGTATTTAATATTTTTATTGGTATTTTCCCGTTATTCGCTTTGACAATTCCACCAGACAGAAATACTCCCTCGCATAACTCTTTCGGAAAGACAACACAATCTTCTATCATACTCGCATTGATATAAAATAAATTCTCGCATCTCGGAGTTATACTCAAATAATTATTATTTCCCAAAATACCCATATGCAATGGCAAAGTTACTAATTCATTCATATTATGCAGTGTAATAGTATTCAATTCAAAATTTATGTTACAATTAAATTTACGTAAAAAATCTATACCTAAAATTCCAGAAGTTTCACACGGCAACTGCTTTATAACATGAAACTTATTATTAAATTTCAGCCCGTCAACAGACAATGTTAAATCAACAAATCCCACGGTTCGTAATTTGCCTCCAATTCCGTTTATTGTAATCGGTTTCTTTTGTAATGAAATGTTTAGTTTACTAAGCGTGTCATATTTAATCACACATAAAGAAGCGCCGGTATCTACGAGCCATCTACATTTGATACCATCTATTGCTAACTCAACACAATTACTATATTCGCAACTAAATATATTATTGGTCTCGAAAAAATTCTAGGTTATTTTCACTATTATCGTTATTAGGGTTAATTTCAATATTTTGAGAACTTTGCGATACGCGATATTCTGGTGTTATAAAATGAACTCGCTGGGCATTTTGACCACGAAAAGATCCGCGATTCTGGTATGAGTACTCACCATAATTACCTTTTTTCCCGCGGTGTTGTTGATTTCCACACGAAAACTTTTGGGGTACCGGTTTCCTCCAATTCACATTATTTTTTGCTTGGGTATGCCAAGGATATGTTTGTCGTGGTACATTATTGGATGTATACCTACCACGAAAATTTTTACGCGTTCCTGAACCACCTCGATTTCCGAAATAAATCGATGGTTCGGTGTACTCGCTAGGTCGAACACTAGATGTCTCCTCATCCTTTGCAGCTCTAATTGTTTCTTTTAACGTACTATAATTGCGTGCTGACAAAATAATACTGAGTTGTCGGTTTCGCAAGCCATTTGTGAAACTTTTAATAGCGATCTTTTCATTTATAGGACGTAAAATTTTATGCGCGTTTTGGTCACCATCGGCTTGGGAAATCGTCAAATCTACGAATAATTGTTCGATTTTATTGCCATAATTATCTAGGGAACTACTATTTTGTCTTATTTGCATTAGTTCGTTATGAATGGAAGTGTAAGATTTCTTTGTTAAAAGGTGGTTCCGCATATCACTTATAAGCGCCTCGCATGAGTCATAGTAATCTAATAGGCGTAACTTAGCACCTTCATTCAAACGAGTCTTTAACACAAATTTTATTAACATAGACTTACCTTCTTCTTTAAGCGAAGAGCTATATAACTCTATCGAGTCCATCAAGGTTTTGGTGACCGATTCCTCGCCCGTCATCACTGGCAGGAGTGACACAGCAGTTTTAAAGTCGAAACTTTCCATGGTGAATATTTCGCTTTGAATAGTGCCCTTGGAAGTTGATTGAGAGCTGTAATCCTTACTACAAAAGTTTTCTATTTGTCCATATAAACTCTTAATTAAATCGCAATATGATTGTATTTCAATTAATGCATTACTTTTAATTTGTTTACTTTCTATCTCTTTATTTAAAATTATCAAACAATCATCAAATTCTTTACGTAATTGTACTGATTCCTTAAGTTTTTGTTGCAAAATGCTTTTAGTTCGCTTATCATAACTTAATTTAACTAAATTATTTTTAATATTTTTAAATTTTTCATATATTATTATTAATTCACTAGACATGGAAGTACAGTCAAAAAGAAATATCGTTGTCAAAATATTTTAAGGTTTAAGGTATACATATAAGGCTATTTTTATTATTATTTTTTTTTAAACTTAAACTATAACATATTTTTCAATTTAAACCTCATTTTTTCAACTTGACGCTTTCGTTGTCACCCGGCGGTCCTCATGGCGGCACTCACAGCATACACGGGGTACACGAGGTCCTGGGTCCGGTGATCGCACAAAAGAACGACGCAAATTGTGCATTACCATCTCATTCCGCATCCAGCTTGTATGGCAACTTTTGTATATTTTGTATACACCATAGAGAAGAGCCAAGCCCAAAACTGTGCATATTATAATCAGCACGACGGATATCCCAGACAGGTGGCTTTTAATTTCTTCTACATGTGCAGAATTTGAGCCTCCTGAAGTGTCTTGCGTAATAAATACTTGGTCTTTCTTGACTTCAGAACGACACATTTTTTTTTTTTAAAACGCGGCCCGCGACCGAACCCAGGCAGACCTCCGATGAACTGGCAGGGTCGCCATGTAGTGTTGGGTGGTTCGGGGAATAAATAAAACGTCCAATAGTCTAGACGGTAGGTTTAATACTAACTCTCTCTTATTCTATCCTACATATATATAAGCACACACTACAATATGGATAAAGGATGGGTTTAAAAATGGCCGCTCGCCGAGCCGGTACTGTCAGCATAGATGGTACGTAAAGCGAAAGTGGTGCTAATAACGTTACTTCGTTATATTATATTATAAAAAAATATATTATGTTAATTACAACGTTTTCTTAGTTTATTTCGAAAATTTTAGTTATTGGAAAAAAACTGATTTTAAAATCTATTGAAACATTAAATTATTATCTGACTATTTAATAGGTATGTAAATCAATTAATAAATAATATTTATTTTTGGTACTGTAATTGTTGATACTTCATAAAACACATTAATACATACTTAAAATAAAGGTATATTACACATTCTTGTTTTGTTACTTGGGCCTGAAATTAGAAGCACAAAACGCTTATCGCGACGCAAAATTACGTTATTTTTCGTAGTTATTACCGAGAAGTGTGTGTATACACATCGGCAGTGAGCAAGCGAGAGGTGAAGAGATAAGACGCCATTTATAATCCCATTCTTTATCCGCGCGAGTAGTACTTTACATTTTGATTCGCATATTTACTACACGACTTTAGTTATTAAAATTAAAAATCTAATATCGTCTAATTAAAAATTTATTTTAGTAATAAATGTAAAATCTGAGACCTCATAAGGTAATGATAATACAAAACTATATAGTTAGTTTTAATAATTATTTGCAGGTATGTCCATCAGACGACAGCCACTACAGCAAGCAGTTCATCTACGAGTGTCTCCCTCTGCTGTTTAATATCCTTCGGTACAGCAAAGTAAGTTAAATCATCAGTTTTTTTTTCATTGTATCTATCTATTCTTTCACAGCCTATCAAAAATCCATGCTGAACACAGGCCTCGTCCTTATTAGATTCCCTGGGGGGAAGTCAGTGCGTACACTGCTGTTTTCAGGTCTGAAAGGTATAAAAATATAGATTGGACTAAAATTTAAAATTCAAAAACTAAAGGTAGCCGGGCTAACTATGACATCGGGACGTCAAACACCTCCTTCCCCCCCCCCCCCGTGACTATGGTTGCTGTAAAGCATCCGAAACGTCGGGAATTAAATAAGTATATTATTTGCGTCGCGATAAAATCCGTAAAAAATTGTTTTGTTCAATGTTTTATACATCGGCCAGTTGGTGTTCTTTATAAATAAGACTATAGTCAAAGACTTCTACGTATACTACTATATCGACAATTTGGAATAAAAACTGTATTACGCCAATGGTTCGCGCGGGCGCCACAAGCTCGGCGAGTAACTGGCACTTTACAATATAAATATGGCTCTATACAATTTTTTTTAATACCGTTTTGTCTAGTCTTAACAATAAAATACCTGTATGTGCACTTTACATGGATCTTACTAAAGCATTCGATTATATTGATAATAAATTATTACTCAAAAAGCTGGAAGCTCACGGCATTCGAGGTAATGCACTCATCTACTAACGTCATATTTAGTTAACAGAAAACAAAGTACACACATTACTAAAATTAGTCTAAAATCAAGACAAGAAATAACCTATGATTCTGGATACAGAGTCGTACAAACTGGATTGCGGTAGCAAGGAAGTATTTTAGGACCATTGTTATTTCTTATCTATATCAATGACTTTCCCAGCTTCATTAATCACAAAATGGTGTTATTTTCTGACGATAACACAGTTATTTTCACTAGTAAAAATAAAATAGATTTGGAAAGTAACATAAATTTTGCTTTAAAGTAAATCATGTATTGGCTAAACATAAATAATCTAAACATAAATTTAGAAAAAACAAAACTAAAGACATTTTTTTACACATTAATATATATATACATTTAGACATTAAAACGTAATATAATAAATAATTTAGATATCAACTATTTAGGACAACAAATCTCAACAATACCACAGAAAATATAAAATTTTTAGGTATAAATGTAGATTGCAATTTAAACTGGCAGTCTCATGTGAGCAGTGAGTGTATGAAGTTAAATCGTTTTTTTTATGCGTTATATATGCTTGGAAAAGTTGAAGACACATCCACCCAAACTATCTGCAAATAATTTTGTAATGTTGTAATGAAATGCCTACTTTTACACATTAACGGCTATAGCTCAGTAAGTAATAACATTTGGTACATGATATGCTGATGTATTAGAATCCTTATGATATAGGCAAACTTTTTAAATGGTTGGCCACACTGATCCTATACGTTTTTTTTCACCACAGGTGCTCAAAGTTTAGCAGTTAAATAAAGTAAAAAATTTAAACTTATGTTTAGTGCCGTCTTGTAAAATACTACCCATAGTAGTTGAAAACTTTTAAGGGTAATTTAGAAATATCATTATTAGGGAACACATTAAAAGAAAAAAATCCGATCTAGGCATTAAACTGCGGACGTGATGACCACAAATGTGAGCAGAAGTACGAATTTTCGGAATTCTATAAAACATGGCGTAGACCGCGAACCGTTCGGGATAGAATTTTCTTTTAGGGAACCGAGGCCACCTCCCCCCCGCCCGAACACGTACATACCAGATTATCCACCATTACTGGGACATCCTGTATATATATGAGGTAGTCTTATTTGTAAGTCAAAACCTATGTCCTTACAAAAATCTAAATGTCCAGCGTCATAAAGACAAATTGAGCCATCCCAATAGTAAAACAGTTTTGTTTTAAAAAAAAAACATTACCTAAATATATAAGAGAGTCCAAGAGCCTTCACATTTTTAAGAAACAACTTAACATATTTTTAACCAAAAAAGCGTATTATAATATTGACGATTATTTGTTTGACAATTTTGAAATTTTAACTATCAAATTTATTGAATCACATTGAACCACTACACTTTATCTATGCTATTAATTTTGAGACGTAATAATTTACACTCGTTTTGACATTACTATTTTGACATTATAATTTTAATTATTACATTTATTATATTATTATTTAGTGAATAAATTATAAAAAGGCATATATTATGTTAATGTTCAATTAAGAGAATTTTCCATTTTAATTATAAAAAAAATCTTGTATTTAATTAGTTTGCACACCGGAAGGTAGAATATGGCTGTAATTTTGTTAAATTATTAAGAAAATTACAGGCATATGTAACCCATATTATATTGCAAACGAATAAAATGTATTTGAATTTATATTTGACTTGCGGTGTTCAGAAGGAGGGCACGGTGCTGTTGCTGGCGGACATCCTGTGCGCGTGCTACGGCCGCGAGCCGGCGCCGCGCGTGCTCGAGCCGCCGCCCGCCGCGCCCGCGCCCGCGCGCGTCGACCCCTCCTACGTCAACAACCCCTCGCTCGCCGACGTCACTTTCCGGTCAGTGTGTTGTTGTTAAGACTGTTGAGAGAATTGGCAAAGGTCTTACACCATACAGCCTGAAACATTTTTTATTTACTTGATTTATTTATCTATTTAAATTAATACATAGAGAGGTAGACTCTCTCGCTTCTTTTACATTCATATGTAAAGGAGGCGAGTACGCGTACATGCTCGCCGGTTAAGGGTACTCTTAATCTGACTCATCTTACATATATCGCCAATATGGTCGATAAACATTCATTTAGGGACGTCCCTTGCCGAACATTTCTGCAACATAAACTTGCATTGTCCCTCTTTCCTCGTTTGACCAAAACACCGAAGCAATCCTTTCTTATTTCTAGTCACAACATTATCTTACAAACCACACTTCTCTTATCATACAATTTCTCACCCTGTAATTATATTCATAATAAGTAACATTACTAATATTCCTTTTTACCACTTCTGGTAACCTTAAATTGCACGTGTTAAGAGTGGTTTACGACACTAGTCGAATAATGGATTCGAAACCACGACCTTTTGAGTTCGCGGTCCGCACCCTGCGGCAGCTACCCTTGTTGTAGTTACGATTCGCCTATTAAGGCAAGCAATGTTTATGTAACATACAGCCTTGTTTGATTTATATTTTGTAAGAGATTTTGATGATAGCTTAACCCAGCGGACAGCGGAAGTGGACATAAAAACTTAAGATTCACCATCGAAGCATTTGTTACATCGTTTCTGTTAATAGTTTATGTGCAAACATTTAATTCACAGCATTGCACCACTTTTACGTATTAAAATCTACTTTAAACTATATAATTAAACGATAAAACAGGAGTAGCAATCCGACGGTTAATTTATCCTCAAGAAAGGGATTCAGCTCAGTTTTTTCTTCGTCGTGTTTTTCTCTGCAGTAATAAACTCGCGCGGTTGTACTTTTTTCCGTGTCAAGTACTATGAAATCATATATCCTTTATAATAATTGTTTAAAATGTTCTTCACAATATGCCGATGAGTCTGTCACACTGCTAAGTTTTTCGGAAGATTTAGACGACAGCTTGAGCCACGACAGCTGATGACGATAGTATCTCAAGGCGCATAAACAGAAACATATCATCAGATTCACGTCACCATTGGAGCACTTCTTGTTTCATCGTTTCTACTAATATATTCATAAGAAGAAGAAGTGCATTGCCGGCCTTTTAGTAAGAAATATTGAAAAACGATATCTTAAAATTAAGTAGCATTTGAGTATTTGGTCATAATACCCTTATTATTGGAAATGATGCTTTTCATCTTAGTCCTCAAAGTTTCTTCATTTTGATTCTTAATTGAATAGTAATATAGATATAAATGTTTATGGGCCACAGCATTTACTTACCATTATGTGAACTATGTGCTCGTCTATTTGATATGTGCGTGAACTGTTATACCGCGCAGATGGTCAGTCTCTGTTGACATTATAACGCATGGTGCAGGGTGGAGGGGCGACTCATTGTAACTGGACTAATATACAGGGTGGAGGGGCGGCTGTTCTACGGGCACAAGATCGTGCTGGTGTCGGAGTCGCCGCGGCTGCGCGCCATGCTGGCGCCGGCGCGCGCCGAGCCCGCCGCCGCCGCGCCGCCGCTCGTGCAGATCAACGACATACGCTACCACATCTTCGAGGTGAGCGGCTGTGCGAACTGCATTGCATTGTGCGCTGATCATACTCGACACTTTAATATCAAGTTAATTCCAATCCGTTACAAATTGGGACTTGGCGTATGGCGAGTGTAGAGAACCGGAAACCCTTTTTACTGGAAACGAGGCATTCCATCTTAGTACTCACAGGTGAAAACGCATCTGCATTTTGATTCGTAATCGAAGATAAATGTAGATGTATATGGGCCACAGCGACTATTTACTATTAGGTTGACTGTGTGCTCGTTTGTAACCTTTATCTTATAAAAAAAAGAATGAATCTCAGTAGTGAAACATGAGATTATCTTGCGTGCTAGCGCCATGCTGCAAATATATTATGGTTGTAACTCGTAGGGTCGGCTCGATCGGGTTAGGTTCTCGATCGCCACGCTCTCACACAATACCAGTGTGAAATAGCAGCTTAATGCAGCTGTGTTTCGTATGATGAGTGTAAAGAACCGGATACCCTTTTTGTTGGATACGAGGCATTCCATCTTAGTCCTGAGGGGGGGACAACGCATCTGCATTTTGAGTCTTAATCGAGGATAGATGCAGATGTCTATGGGCTATAGCCACTGATAATCTAGTGGATTGTGTGCTCGTTTGTCGCACTCATTCTATAAAAATAAAATAAACATGAAATGATGCTGTTACGGGGTGTGTCGTGGTATCCGCAGCACGTGATGCAGTACCTGTACAGCGGCGGGTGCGCGGGGCTGTCGGTGGCGGACGGCGACGTGCTGGAGCTGCTGGCCGCCGCCGCGTTCTTCCAGCTGCTGCCGCTGCAGCGCCACTGCGAGGCGCGCGCCGCCGCCGCCGTGGACCTGCACAACCTCGTCTCCGTCTACATACACGCTAAGGTATCGCACATAACTTTCTTGCAGATGCTACCGCTGCAGCGCCACTACACTAGAGCTTCACGACCGAGACTCGTTGCGAGGCTCTTGACGAGCGTGTACAGCCGAAGTAACCATATATTCATTAAAAATCCATCATTAATAAAAGTCCACTGCTGAACATAGGCCTCCACGGAAAAGAGGTTTTTAAATTTTACCACTTGACTGACCTGCTTACCAGGTTGACACAGTTTTTGAAGGGAATACTTCTTTAGAGTCGTTGCGATTTGAAACTCGATAAAATGAAAAGACACTAAAAAGAGACAAACATATACAACTACAGAATTTAGCCTGCGATAGATAAACACTGTATACAGTCTTTTCTATTATCTGTCTCCTTTTTTGAAGGTTTTACTTCTACCGCATGTGAACTGCACACATGTTTTTTTATTATTTATTATTTTTAGTTGTCATTAGTTTAGTCAGCGTAACAACGATAAAAATTGATCAAGGAACGTTAAAATGATGATTTCTTTTCAGGTCTATGGCGCGACGCAACTGCTGGAGTACTGTCAAGGTTTCCTACTCCAGAATATGGTTGCTTTACTTACGTACGACGACTCTGTCAAGAGGCTACTATTTGGCAAGAGGCTGCCCGGCCACAATGTATTAGGAGCTCTCCTAACCACATTACAAAAAAGGATCGAATCCAGGAAGAGTCAGTCAAAGAGTAGGTAGCGGTAGACTGTTTATTTATTATAAACTGGACACTAATTGTTTAATATAATATAACTATAAAGTGTAAAATAAAGAACTATTAATGTCTTAAAAACTTAACTTTAAAATTATTGTTATAATCAGACTGATACATCTTGTTGTTGTCAAATTCAAATGTGTTGAACGTTGTCACATGTTATATATAAATATATCTATTATGGGTGCACGATAAGAATAACTTATTTAACTTCCTTATTGTCTCTGCTTAGCCAAATAGTTGACTGGAAGAGAATGTCCTTCGGCATTAATTCAGCCATAAATACCATATTGTAATATGTTTTTTTTAATCATTTATATAAATAAATAAAATTGTCACAGTGTACATTGCGAACGAAATTGCATTACTTACAATAAACAAAAGAAGAAATTCATTTACATATTACCTAAAGACTTATATGGGTATTATTTATATTTATTACTTTATGCAGTAAATAGAATTTTGAGAAGGAATTTACAAAACCTACAATCGATTTTAGGGGGAAAGAGGCGGGGAGAGATATGTTGATGGGAGCCCCTCCCTTTTGGTCTATGGGGATGCAGAACTCCGTTGCTCTTAGAATAAAAGCATATTTTTATTTATTGAACTCTGGAAAGCATTTCTTAGTATCGTGCTTTGTGAAAGGGCGGGGAAAAGAATGAAAAAGAAAGACAAGGGCATAGATGGCCAGCCGGTAACGAGATTGATGCGAAAACGCGTAGTGTTAAAAAATATTTTGGATATTTTTTTAATTAATAATCTAGGTTTAGCCGGCTACAAGGCGCAGCCAGTCGCTGTTGAATAAACTTAAGTGTATTCGATTTGTTCACGGTGTTCATAAATAACAAAACTAGTTTTACCTATGTTTACTTAAAAGCACCCCTGCTTTTTTTTGAGTCCATTATTATATTTAATGCTCGCGCTTTGGGGGTAGTCCTTGTTTCACGACAGCCGCACCTCACAAAATACTGTCGCTGATTACACACACACACACACACATATATATATATATATATATATATATATATATATTACTTGCTTGTAATTTTAACGTATAAGTAGCAGCACGAAAGCATAGCGGTGACCGTTATTGCACTGATTGGCTCGTGCGTACCGTTCGCACGCGCTGATTGGCTGCCCAGACACATTCGTGCGCGTTGCGTCCACGTTTCGTGCAGAGCTAGACTTACGTGCCGCGACTTGTATCGGAAATCGGAAAGACAACTATGTATCGATTGTTTTATATGATACTACAATATTATTGAGATTTAGGCAGAATGGTCTGGAAAACTACGTCATTATGACGTCACTTATTTATGAAAAAAAAACTATTTATATATAAAATTTAATACGTTGTATTTATATACCTAGTACTAAAACTATGTTTTCCTAGTACTAAACATGGAACAATAACTCTCTACCGAGAGATATTGAAATAAGAGTGAGATAAAAACAAATCCTATCCTCCTCTTATCCTGCGTGCATAATATCTACTCTTCGAGTGAGTTACTAGAGGAACATTTTATTTGATTAGTTTATTGCCATCTTTTATATCTATTTGCTCATATGCATTTACACACATTCACTAATTATTTTTACTGTATGTGAACTGTGTGTAACCCACCTGCAGTCAAGTTCCCGCCAAAATTCCATAGATAATGCTCATCTATTGGAAGCAATGTAACAAATCTTGCTCAATTTTTTTCCCCTAGTTTGACAACTACCTATGGAGTGTAGAGAGAAGGAGGACCATCTGTATACTATGAAAAGTGTCCCTAAAAACGTGTCCAATAAGGGTGGCGCTGCAGTAGCATAGGATAATTTAAAAAAAAAGCGCCAAAAGTAATTAGAGTAAGATGGAGAAATAAACAAGGACCGACCAATCCGCTTGGTTTTGTACGAGTACTACGTAAATAGTTGAGATTTTGTATGCTGGCATTTTACTAACTACTCTAGTCATGAAATTTTTTAAATAATTGAATTCAGCTGACTTCACTCCGTTCATAACAGCTATCATCATATCGTAGTTTCTCAGACGCCAGCGCTATTGTGGTAGGTTTTGGAACCTCTATTTTCAGTAAATAGTAGGACACTTATTCAACTTTCGCCCCTTATAAGATGGTTCTCCTTGTACTCTACACTCCATACAACTACCGTTGGATTTTGCCAGCGTTAAATATTTTTTTTATAACTGGCTATACGACTCTGGGTTCTAGCCCTTCTGAGCCTGAAGTTAAGGTTTAATTGTCCTTCATAGTACACTGCTTCACAATATGTTGATGCGTGAAATTGTGCAGCCCTTGGGAGATTTTGACGGCAGCTTGATCCAGCAGACAGCTGACAGTTGGCGATGGTATCTCAAGGCGCCTAAGCAGACAGACACCTTATCTAGGAAATCACATCACTATCAGAGCACTTGTTTCACCGTTTCCACTAATAGTTCATATGCGCAGACACTTAATACACAAAATCGCACCACTTTTACATATCAAAATCCACTTCAAACCATTATTTAAACAATAATACAGGAACAGCAAACCGCCGCCTTTTAAATTCCCGCCAAAAGTCAGCATTAAATAACCCATGAAAGTCACACAGTGTATCAGGCTACGAAGTTTCCATAGATGGTACTTTACTCTATGTTACGACGTTACAAATTATTTTCGGATGAAATTAAAAATAGATAGTTTTACAAGATTAAAAATACTGTAACTCATTAATGGATATTAAATCAAATCGTTTTTACAAAAGAAGTGTAAAGTAAATGTAACAAAGACATGTTAAAACACTTATACAACGGGATATGTTACTGGGGAGAAAATTATATAGCGCACAAAAGTTATTGATTGTATAATATTAATAAGAAATACGCACTGAAGACTTATTACTTTAATAACTTTAGATTATAACAGATTTCGCATGAACATTTCATTTTATATAAAATTACCGCCTCATTTCATATAATTATTAATATTAAATTTATTATTATATAAATAAATAACTTGTAAATGTGTCTATGTAGAAATCTCTTTGATGTATTATAATTAAATTTATGTACTGTTTAACATGGCTTCCGCTGTATGTGTTTTATTAGAAATTTCTTTTAAACAGGTTCAGATTCCAGAATTAATCATTAAGTCTTAACATGTTGTCTTTATGATCGTAAAGGTTACGATCATAAAGACAACATGTATAATTTAAAAAAATATATCTGTTGCTTATTAAAGGAATATAAACTTTACTTACTGCCATTAAAATTATGACAATATTACATAACATTCCTGTGAAAAGAGAATCGGCATAGAATTTGAGTGTTTAAATTATGCTTTTGAGTTTCATTGTCAAAATGTGGTCATAAAATTCGAAAATACGATTTTAGTCCAAGTTTGAGTATAAGATTGTTTACAAATTTATGTACGCTTTAATTGTTTCGTTTTTGTATTTTATAGGTTTTAAATAATTATTTAAAATATATATTATTAAACTTTACTGCCACGATGGTTCTCTTTCCGCACAGATTCTGGTAGATATAAATGTTGTTATCGACATTATTAATAGTTTATGTAGATATACTAGTACTTAATTATAAGGAAATTTTACATAAAGACCTGAAAGCTTTGTATACAATTATGTTATTTTTAGTTATACTTGATTCAACTGTCTGTCTTTAGAAAGTATTATAAACTCTGTATTTAAAATATAAATATTGTTGAAATATAGTTTTGTTTTTTAAAATACTCCAGTCTTCCGAGCCTTTGGTTCATGTTTTACATCTATCAATCCTCTTCTATACTGATGAACGATTTTTTTGACGCAATGAAGAAATTATCCAGCTTACAGTCTTAATATTAAAATTAACTCTAGATAATATTAACTATGGTAGAATGTCTCATTAACAGTAAAAAGGGTATCCGGATCTAAACTCACTATATAAAACACAGCAGCAGGTATTCTGTGACATTAAGCTGCTATTTTACACTCACTTCGATATTCTGTGAAAGCTTGGTCCATCCTTAATCGAGCCGACCCCATTCGCGCTAAAACCATAATATATCTGCAGCGTGGCTCTACCATAGCTGCCACGTGGCTCTACCACGTGTAAAACGTATCTGCGCTTGTAAACTATTAGTAGAAACGATGCGAATAATACAAAATACAAATACAAAATAATTTATTACGGTAACTAAGCCTAATACAATTTTAAGTACTTGGAGCTTCCTTTTAAGCAAATAATCTTGCTTGTGTTAGGAAGCACCGCTCATCCATAGCGAGGTTACATAATAGACTAGAAACCACCAAGTAAATACAAATAAGGATTATAATTTGAATTTTAAAATAAAAGAGGTACACAGCTATCGCAAATTTAAACAAAAAATAAATAAATAAATAAAAATAAACTAAAAAATAAAATAAACATAACCTTTTTAACAAGACTAATTATATTTGTGTGTGTGTGTGGGGGGGGGGGGGGTGTTACATTTTCAATTTCAACTTAAGAATTTATATAGGTAATATATATTTTCATAGGATTTTTTTTTCCACAACTTATGCATACATTTTATATTATTTTACTCAAATCAATGATTCTATTTCATTATAACTTTTCGTCTTTAACCATTTAGTGAGAGCAATTTTGCATTTGGCGAACGTTAAGGGATGGATATTTATTTCCCTGTTTATTTTATTATATAAGTCAACTGATTTCTTCGCGAATTGTCTCTCAGCAAATACTGACTTGTAACAAATGAATTGATGGATGAACATATAAATCTAAAGTTTTGATCCGCTTAGGCACATTGACATACCGTCATTATTAATGAGGGCTAATAACTTTCTGCTTTTAAATGAAACTAATTTTACGGATTTTATCGCGTATATTAACTTATTTTACATTCCCGACGTTTCAAGCACTTTACAGCACCCATGGTCACGGGGGGACTGAGGTGTATGACGTCCCAATGTCATAGTTAACCACGGCTACCTC